CCCCCCCCGCCTCTCTCTCTCTCTCTCTCCCTCTCGCCGGACCATTCAGCCGCCTCATTGCACATGACGCCACGAGGCGAGGGTCGCCGGCCACGGCACGAGCCCCGGCCTGCTCCCCCCTGGCGGAGGGGCGGGCGCGGGATGTTTTTTTTCCCGGAATCGTTCTCCCTTTTGGACGCAAGCGGCCAGCCCGCGCCCGGCGCTTGTTCACGCTGCTCTCTGCCCCCGGGTCCGGGCACTTTGCTGCAGCTTGCGGATAGGGGGGGGGGGACACCCCCGGCCCTCCGCCCTGCCTCCCCCTCTAGCCCCCAGGCCAGCAAGAACTGGGATGTCGCTGATGGGGGTGCATTTGTCAGGGCACATCCCCCCCCCCCCTATGCCCGTCCCACGCGCCCCTCCCCTTCCTGGAGGGGTCGTGCGCCGGCGCGCAGATGGCTGGCATGCCCCCGGGCCCCGGCCATCCCCGCCTCTTGGTCAAGCGGGGATTTCTTGGCCCCCCCCCCCCCGGGCCCGGCCTGTGCAAGGGCGCGGGCGTGCGCTGCCTTGCCCGCCCCCTGAGGGACCTCGCGGCGGCACCCCCTGCTCCGCGAAGTGCGGCCGAGTCGAGGCTGCCGTGCCCGGTGTCCGGGACATGTCCCTGGGGCTGGCCGGGGGGGGGGGCGGGGGGCGGGGGGGGGGGCGAGCGTTGCCCTTGTGCGGATGTTTTATCGGCCCCTCCCCGCTCGGCCGAGCTGGTTGGGGCCAGGTCGAGCGCGCCCGCGCCCGCGCCTAGGCACAGGAGTCGGCTCCAGGGGGGCGGGGGCCAGGGCGGCGGCGGGGGGGGGGACGGCAACGCACGTCCGCATGCCCTTCGGCGCGCAACGCACGTAAGCCCCCCGTTGGCGCGCCCTCCGGCCGGCCGGGTCAGAAGGCCAGGCGCAAAAATGCCCCAGGCCATTATTCTGATGCCGACGCGCGTCTCCATTCCACACCGCCCGGCGCTCGCTCCGCCGCTCGGCCGGTCTGCCTTGCACTCGCGCACCCGGAAGGGTGCTCCCTGCCCCCCCCCCCCCCCGACTCGGCGGGTCGCCAGCTCAGGCGCCGACGCCGACCCCTCTCCGTTGATTGCGCGCGCGCGCGCCCATGGCACACGAGAGACACACACACATAGGGAGCGGGCGCGCCAGCGAGGGGGCGGGCCGGGAGACGCGCCTACCGATGCAGGTTCGCATGGGTGCACGGCCCTGCGCGCTGACCCGGCTCACCCCGGGATACACCCCGAGAGGCTGCGCGAGCCCGGAGGCAGGCCTGTGAGAAGGCTTGGGCAAGTGTGCAAGGAACGAAGGAGGCCCGGATACGCCCACGTACCAAATACGCCGGACATATGCGCCCCCTCCCCCCGGCCCGGCCCCCCCCGCCCTCCGCATGTGCGGGGGTGAATCTCCCGGGCAGGGGGTGATGGGGCTCGGCCGGCGGGGGCGCACCACTACACAGGGGCGGACCGCCGTCACTCCGCCGAACAACCGGGCCTTGGTGGTTCTCGCCGGCCCGGGCATTTTTTTTAAAAGTATGGCTTGCTCGGGGCCCTCGGGATTTTGTGTAACCGTGCCTGGTAGGTGCACTTTTTCCCATTCCCCCCCCTTCTCTCCCCCTTTCCCTTCCCCTCTTCTCTTCGCCGCATCCCTGTGAACTACTGCTCCCTGTTCGTCCATCCCACACCCTCCCTCTCCCTTTCTTCCTCGCGCCCTCTCCCCCGTTCTTTCTCCCCCTTTCATGCGTCTTCCCCTGCCAGCACCCTCCTCCATGCCGTCTGTCGCGCTTGGCCGCCTTTGGCCCTGCAGCACCAATCCCCTCCTCTCGGGGCGTCGCGCACCTGCCCC